ACACACTCACTGCTCTAGAAGACAACACCGCACAATCAGGAGAGACTCCAGTACAAACACACACTCACTGCTCTACAGGCAGGAGAGACTCCAGTACACACACACACACCCTCAAACTCTGCAGCTGTATAACTGGACACTGATCTATGCAGTCCCCCCTGGAGGGGAATAATAGGACAATGAAGAGTGGAGAGCATAATCGGACGGCACATACCTCAGAAAGCACTCATCTTTGAAGATTTTAAAACGTCCACGAAACAATTATTGCTTTAATTGGACTTCCATCTCATCTGCCATATTAAATTAAATTAGTATGACATCATAATCCTTTTGTAATTAGATTTCTGTTGCTTTAAAATACAATGTGAATTGCCTTGTGACACTTATGAAAAGCCGCTGTAGAAATAAAACACTGCTGGTAATACTACAGTCCTCCTGTTGAGCACTGATATATTGCATAACACTCAGTGCTGGAAGAACAGTTACTTTATTGTCTGACATTTCACTGCAAAGATAGTAAGTGCAACGCAACAAGCACAGTTTGAGACATGCAAATCCCATTTAATCATATCCAGGACACAGAGACTAGCAGCTCCAGCGACTGACAGTCGCACCTGTGTGACACGGACATCAGCAGAGTGTGCAGTGCAGCCTGAGCCTCTGTATTTTTGACCCTGCCTGGACACGAGAGCTCGGAGTCTGCTTTCCCTCATCTACAGCAGCACTTACAGATTGTGCAGTGAAGTGCATTATATCCCGTGAGGGTGGGTTGAGAGCACAGAATACTCCTCACGCAACAATCCTGGAGCCAGTCTTACTTCAACACCTTCCCAGTCTCATGACAGCCTGTCTGCCAACAACCCCACCCTTGTCACCTGTCCACAGGTACGAAGTTCAAGAGGAGACGGTTATAAACCACACACTAAGACACACAAATGGCACAGCACAGACCACATATTACAGATCACAGAACACAGGATAGAGCTAGTCAATAAAATGAGCTTTCCATCACAATATCAATAAGTGTTTTTGTGAAACAAATGAGATTTCCATCACAATACGAATAAGTGTTCTTGGAGGACATATTACAAAGGAATTGCCAAACCATGATGTAAAATAAACCAGCATGACTAAATATCAGCAGTGTAACACAGGGGTGTACAAAACAGTACAACATACTACACAATGCATAATATGTCACAGCCTCTTGTACATCAGAGTCTGTCATACTGTGACACTGTAGTCCACAATACTGTGCAGAATACTGTGTGCTGTAGAGTTT